TGTTAAACATGAGATAGTCTGTATCTTCACAGGACCACATTGTCGTCTATAAATTGCAATAGTTGCGCTCGTAGCTTGTATCTGCTCACATTCAAGGGAAAACATCCGAGTGGGATAATTTTAATATAATATGAAATTTTAACCATTCCACACTGTATAATGAAAAAATCACATTTACATGAATTTTATTTTATCATTTTTAAATATTTAAAGTCATTAAAAGTCACTTATTATTTCAATACAAAAAGGAATTGCCAGTTGTCTCATCAATTTTTAATTCAAAATATTTTTCCATAAAAGTGCTATATCAAGTTCTTATTCATATGAATATTTATATGAATTTATTGTAAAAATATGTGCAAATTATTCTAGATTTTTATCTTGCAAATTTAATTTGAAATTCGTATATAAAGTTCTTAAAATCAAATTCAAATTTGACACCAAAAAATAAATAAATAAAAATAAAATTTATTTAAGTGAAACATTATTCAGTAAATAAACACAGAAATGCAAAATACAATAAATAAAAATAAATAAAATCAAAAATATTATTTTATTTTCTTTCATAAAAACGACAAACTACGATCCCTACTCTCTTCGAAACCTCTATATTGAAAACAATAGTTTACATCAAGAATATAATTTCTTCTGCCAAACCTGATGTCAAAATCTAGAGTCAATCTATGAAGTTAATATAGATTGACAAGGAAATAGAGCAATTTGGTACTTTTTAAAGTAAAAACAATTAAATGATTAAATTAAATATTAAATCGAAAGTCATAAATACTACTATATCATGTTTGCTAGAGAATTTGGATTATATTATTTTCAATTTAAATCTATTCAATAAGTTTTAAATGTAATTTTCCTATTGCACTCAATCATTTTCTTTATTTATACAAATGCACTTCAGTCTGTTCAAGTGATTTATGTTTTCTCAACTGGTGGCCAATTTACCCAACACAAATTCAACCATACTTGCCATGGAATCTATATAATCGAATAAAGCTACTGAATCCTTAACTGTGCCAAAGCCAATCCAATACGGTGGGAAGTGAATGCAAAACACTTATTCAGAGTGGAATAAAATGTCATAAATTGCCAGTATTTTACTTGCTCACTTCCAGCCCTAAGAAGTCCAACACTCAATTTGTTGATATTTGCTTGCTATGGTGCTTCCAGAAAGTCTGAAATCGTTTTAAAATAGCTTCAATAAATAGCATTCTTTATACAACATCCTACGGCTGCGTGGGTTCAAGAATATTTAAAATTTTTGCAGATATTTGTCACTCACAAAAAAATTGTAAATATATTTTTAAAATGAGAATTGTGGAAACTTTTATTCAAAGAAAATCGAACAATTTCACCAAAAGTTCATATAACTCACTTTGCAATTAAAACAAAGAAACGAGTTATCTTTAATTTTTTTGCAGCTCCGCATAAAGAATTAAGAAAAACATACATTTCGATCGCTAAATATTCCTAGAATGATAACTCGTAAAAGCTTGATACCCATCCACTCCAATTTTGCACATTCACTATAGCAATCACAAACAATCATACCATTTCACTTCCAATACTCTTACTTATATAGATATTAAAATTTACTGTTTTGAATCGCAAGTACATATGGGTTTAAATGGGCTTTTTGCCAAGAATATTTGTCGTGGCTGATTAAATTGGTCTACCAGTGCTTGCTTAGTCGTGTTTAAAAGAAATCTTCAAGGGAGAATTAGTTAGTGCCATATGTAAGAATGAGTAATTTTAGGGAGTGGGTGGGACGTGAATCTTTGTGAAAAAGTGCACAAGGATGTGTCTGATTGCATTTAACTTGAAAAGTGTCCACAATCTCTGTCGGCCTCAATCCAAGTTATTACACAGCTTTTACATAGCACGACTAAATAGTTAACAAGCACTCGCTCTGTAATGAACTAAAAGTGTGTACAGAGAGTCTTATCGCCAGAATTTTATATAGTTTTATAGAGCTTAATACTCTTCACGTAAAATCATCCGCAAGTTGACGACCACTGCAAACGATTAACGGATATACACCTTGAACGTCTACACACTCTATATCCATCTCTATCTAACTCGCGAAAGTTCTCAATAAATATAGAACTAACATCACTCTCAGGAAAAAAAATCAAATACGAATTATACGCGATCTACTTTGGAACAAGTAACAAAAGTAATGCTCGGTAGAATTATATGGATAGGGCATCCATGGATGTGTGGCTAAGTGATCGCGTATGAGTGAACAGAAGCCCGCTTGATAAATGCTTTATGGTAGATTTCATAATAAACATTAGCGAGATAGACTCTCCCCATGTTAGAATGACTACCAAGAACACAGCATTAAGTCCCCAAAGATGCATAACTTGCAGACACATGTTTGCAATCGCAATCGATGCAGCGATAATGCATCGCATTTATATAATAGCTTGTGTTATAATTACTTACAATGCACGACTTGTATTTATGTATTCTTGATATTAAGAAATTTTTTAATTATTTTCTTGGTTTTTCTGAATATGTGGTTATTACACATTCTTATGTGCAAATAATTGTTGAACTTTGATGCCATCAATGCCATTGCATTGTTATTGCATCAAACTAGCAAAAGCAATTCAATCAAAACACGAGAACATTGAGATTCTCAAAGTTTTTGAGATAACAAAATATTTAATAAAATATTTCCAAACTCCGCAAATGAACGCTCATCAATATTCGCTTAGACAACCATAGAATGCGGAAGGAGATGTGGTGACTTTACCACGTTGTTGTCACGGAATTAAAGTAAACTGTGAACAAAATCACTTCCAACGTAAACTCATAGGAAAACACCGCTGTGTACGGTGAAATTCAAGGACCACAACAGTCAGTAAATAACAACGAAACCAACTTTCGTCACTTGAGGCGCGGATGAATTTTGAAACTTCTCCATTCTGGAAAACATCATCGAACACTTAAAAAACTGAAAACTTTTGAATAAATTAAAATAGTTTAATTGCATAGTTTCTCTTATGTTGAAATTAATTTCATTATTGCACATAAGATACATATATTAAAACTTTCCAGAGTGTATTGTGCTATGTGATCCTGTTTCAAGATTTTACAAAAGAATACAAATAACTTTGTTATTCATTTATAAATTAGTTTTTATTTTGCAGAGACGAAATTATCTCCAAATCCTTTAAAAGCCTTTTAAAGCCTGAAATGGAAATCAATTCCTGGTTTTTTTTGATAAAAGTTATAGCTGTGATATTTGATTAATCTACTTGATAAAAATTCATAGTAAACTGAAGAGTTTCTAGATAATAGTGTATACACAGTGTACAGGAAAATTGAATATAACTCTCAATAAAATCTTAAAGAGGCTATACAATAACAATAAATTTATTCACATTAGTCATTTTATTGCTTTTGATGTATTCTTCAAGAAGCGAGGAAGAATCCTTTATTTTGGACATAAAGGCGGTAAAGAGTTTAATGTGAATATTTGAAAAACCCACAGAGTATTGTAATCAAAATTTTCTAAACTCATTAATATTGGTTATTACTGATTTAAAATGTCTGTAAGATATCAGAATAATCGGTTATGCTGACACTTTTCAAAATGCAATTGGCAGTGCATCTTTCTAAAATTTTGGAAATCTCATACCATGACAAACAAGTAATACATATCAGCATATCTGGTTGCGCTGAACCCATCAGGTACTTTAAGTCACTACTAACTCCACCACACTTTTCTTTAATTGAAATTAATCCGTTAATTGAACGATTTTGAAGGGTGAAAATGGCAATACATTGTCATCATATCGGGAAACCATTCGTTACAATATAAAGCGTAAATGTGGAAATGAATGCTTTTTATAAGATAGATTGACATATAGATATTATAATTTTAGATACAAAATTGTGGCAATATAAAAAAGTTATTGTTTTCTGTAAGCGTTTTGGAAAAAAAAGTCTGGTGCAAAATGAGAAAACTTCCGAATATCTGATTTCAAGTTGAGGTAAAGTTCGCCTAAAACTACGATTCCTATAAGAGTACATAAAAGTAAAACCATAACTATAAGAACTACAAAGGATTATAGCATAAATATATTAAAAAAATTATATCATATCAGACAACTGTAAATAATTTTTCAAGTCTTTTAATTATTTAAAACCAAGTCATCAAGAGAAACTATACTATATTGATATCGATAGGATATCAGATTTGTCACATGCAAAGGAACCAATACCTTTAATTCGATAGCGTAAAAGGAAGTTTTTATTTGATGAATTTATTGTTTTTTGTCTATTTACCTCATCGATGTTAATAATCTAAATTCGGAATGTTTAATTTAATGTGTCTTATGTATAATTTTTAATTACTCAATTAACTTCAATATTTGCTTAAGTGTTCCTAGTATTGTTGTCTTATTAGTGCGACTATGTCTATTTTCCTTCTGGGTTCTAATATGAAATATTGTCTACATTATTGAATAAATAAAACTTTTTTTTTTATAAAATGGTTTATAGTATTTGCTTATACAATAAATGTAGAAATCCTAAATAATTTATCATTAAAATAAACTCAAATAATGGTTTCATATAATAAATAATAAAAAGAACCACAACAAAGCAAAACTGAAGCAAAAAATGATCATATTCAGTAAGTATTTATACTGAAAATATTTATATATTTTGCAATTACTTTTTATTCTAAAAATAATTAGACTTTATTAACAAATAAATACAAAAAAATTATATTCACGTTCTTTGTTAAATTCCAGCACTCAATTTGTTCAGTAAATATCAGAATGGATTATATCGAGTATTAAGTAAATCTTCAGAAGACTTTCTTTAAATGCGTAAGCGAAGACCACAATGTAGTTTTCAGAACAGCTTTGCAAACATCTAAAAATTTGGGAATTAACGAGTTTCCTATATATATGCAATAACAGAGCCGATAACTTCATATAAATAGATCCGAAAAAGCAATAATCTATCAGACATCGATTGGTAGTCATCTCAAAGGCAATTTCGATAGAGTCATGAAATTCAATTTGTTTCTTATTTTTGCCATTTTGGCTTTCCTGACCGTATCTTCATATGGACAAGATACGACAGTTTCATCAGAAGAAACAACTGCAGCTCCAAGTGAAGACACAACTGTAGCTGTGACTGATGCACCTGTCGATGAAACCACCACTGTAGTTGTTACCGAAGCGCCTACTGAATCAGAAAGCACTGCGGCACCATGCGGAGGAGATAGAGGTCACCGAGGACATCACGGACATCACGGAGGTAGAGGCGGACGTGGTGGCAGAGGTGGACGAGGTGGTAGAGGACGTAGAGACGGTAGACGCGGCAGAGATAACCGAGGCAGACGTGGTGGCAGAAGCATTGGCCGTGGACGCAGAAACTGATTTATCTCAATTGTTAAAAACTTAAAAATCAATAAACCGAAGCATTTGCAATTATAGATCTACTTATATTTTTGGTATAAATCGTATTTCATTAACAAGGAATTATTCTTTTTTTTAATACGATAATGATATTCTTAAGTTTATTTATTTTGATGGAGATTATACTGTTAAAGTGTTAAAATCAGTTATAATTAGAAATGAATTACTTCTCAACTCCCAAAGTGCGAAGATCGTCTAATGGAATTTAAGCTATTTAAGCGATTATCTATAAGAAAGAATAGGGTCAAAAATAATTATTATGAGTACAAATCGCGACACCTCTTTACAGGTATCCGGTTATTTGACAGCCTGGGCGACGAATGTGTAGGCCCAAAATTAATTGACAGCAATTACAATCGAGGTTGAAGATTAGAGCTGTCAGGAAAATATGCTATTAGTTGAAGATAATATTCTTTAGATAATTTTTTTTTTTTGTTTTTACCGTAAGTGGAAAGCATCGCAAACCACAGAATGAGACTTGAACTCACAAAAACCACCTCTTAGAAATAAATAGCAATGTGAAAACTTCACTCCAGTAATCAGGAGAGAGAGATGAGAGCAGATAGGCTTAATACCTAGCGGGCCTAGTTTATCTCAGACAGAAAGCATGGGCGTAATTAAGGAGATGAAGTTATAGTGTTATAGTAAAGGGATGGGAGACTAGGAACACGAAAGCGACAGTTATACAAGGGAATGACGTGGGGATTACGGTCCCATTCATCAAAGTAATGGGACAGGTATTGGGGAGGTTTGAAGCGCTAGGCTTAAATAAAGTCATCAGGGAAGGTGTTTAGAATGGAGACGTCAGGAGTGAACATAAAACTCTTGTTACCCTCTCGAGATGACAGCATAACAAAATGTGATAAATTATATCCTGTATGACTTGATAGTCACTGTAGTGTAGTGAATTGGCTGATAACCTGGTCAGTGAAAGCTGTTCTGGTAAGAGCTCTTAGACTGGGTCATTGATTTTACCAAATTTGTTCACAAAAAAAGGTGGCCCAATCAAAAAACTCTTAGTAGACAAGCCTTCACTGACCAAGTTATGTGAACATGCAAACTGTCGACAATGCAATTAAGGAAAATAAACTTCAGAATATCGATAATCACAGGTGAATACTACATAGACACAATGAGAATCATCACAGATTTAACATTTCAGCCACGTTTAGAGATTGTCGGTGCACATAGCACTTTTTTTTATTGGCCTGCATTTACAGAAACGAGTTGGGGATTATTAGATAAGCATGATGTCTATCCGGTACGAGAATAATAAACAAGAGTAATGATTAACACGAAAATCTATCAAAAGACCCACATTACTGACAAACAAAATTATATCTGCACATTCAAATTGATATTTTCTGCTGATGCTCCAATTTTTTGAGTTTTCAGAATTGAATTCGAACAGAAGTTATTTGCGTTATCTCTTTATGCATATCGATGAGCATTTCTTCTCAAAGTGAATACCACAACTCTATTTGCAATACATTGTGACCGAAAAGCTTTCGGAAATTCTCATTTAAAATTCGCGCGCTGTATATTTTTCGATATTTTAAGTTTATGTAGTTTGGCAGCACTGTCCTTAATTACTATGCCAAAAATGAGCGCGATCTGTCAGACAGTTCGTTTACGGCAGCTGTTGAAACCAGTTCACCTCAGTAGTGCGTTGCGAAAAAAACAATGGAAAAAAATATTGAACAAAGAGTTTGCATCAAATTTTGTGTTTCGAACGAAATTTCGTGTGCAGAATCGTTGCGAAAGCTACAAAAGGCTTATGGGGAATCAGTTTTATCGAAAACTCAAGTTTATG